AGAGAAGGAATCTTTGGTCTCTTTTTCTCATTCATTTTAACAAATTATCCCATACGCATGAAACAGATATTCAAGCGACCTACGACCTAACGTAACAGTTTGTCCTGCAAGCCGGTCAGAGTGGCATGACATGTGCATACTGTAGATCATTTTTGCAATTGTATGACGTACAGACTGTATGAGTATGACCTATCAGAAAAACGGTGTCACTTTTGGGTCCTCAATAAGAGGCCATCCTACACATACAAACATCCGAGCGTGCATTCCAGATGCATTCAATGTCCGGTTCTGTTCCATGGTTGGGTGACACGGGGTACGGAGGAGTAAAAGAAAACATGCGGAATGACGGATTTGGGGCTCTTTATGAAAAGTGACCATGCCTTTCAATGTAAACTAAATAGCTTACACAACAAGCAGGCCTGGTTCAAGGTTTTTTTTTCATCTTTCTGATCTCATCAATAGAGTATATGTGAGGCAGCGTGGTGGAATCAGGCTTTCGTCAAAATAATCAAAGTGTAGAAACTTGCATTTTTTCCACTGGTTTGTGAATTTTTATCAGATTTTTGGTTTTTGGCTCAACGCCTTTGATGCCCATTAAAGAACTCATTTCTGTGAGGATTCTTTTGAAAAACGTTGATTAAGAGCACAAAAGATGTAAATTTTCAGTTATCACGGACTTTTAAGCTAAGGAAATCACTAATCTTTGGCGGCCATTTACTTACAAATTTAATTCTGAAAACAAGTGACCCCCACCTCCTTCTTTCGCAAATATCTCGACTCGTATTCAAGATAAATTGATTTTTTTTTTCAAAATAACGACAAGTGAACAAGCTTTAAGATGATACCAATAACTCTACATGTCCAAAAATTGACGAGAGCCTGATTCCACCACGCTGCCTCACATATTATGTTCTCACTGTGCTACTGAGCTAAACCTAACAAAATGTTGCTCTATTGAAACAGCGAGTGCTTTAGAGAAGGAGAGTAACAACGGAGAAATGGGAGGATTATACTGGACTCCGCCCCCTCTCCCTCTCTCCCTCTCCCTCTCTCTACCATGACCCTTTCTCTCTCTCTTTTGACCCCCCTCTCTCTCGCTCTGTCTCTCTGTCTCTCTGTCTCTGTCTGTCTGTCTGTCTGTCTGTCTGTCTGTCTGTCTGTCTGTC